CGGTGGCACACACAAGTTGAATTTTTGGGACGGGAATCGAGATGATTTTAGTACTTTTTTTGGCTCATTTTTTTCTTTTCCAGGTGCCGTCAAGGTGAGGATGGGTAAATGTTTCTCGCAGATTCGTAAGGACCCTCTCACGGCAGGAGGAACTGCTAATTTTGGTGTTCGAAAGCAAGATCAGTTTAGGCATTCAGTTACCCATACCCAAACTTATCCTCAGTCTCATGGAGCCTCACATAGTTCAAGCCATGTCCAGCCTCTTGCCACCCATGCTACGCAGAGTACGCAAGGTGGCTTTAACGCCTCTCAGGAAGAAATGACTTCAATGTCACAGGGACCAGGTTAAGTTTTGTACCGTTTATTAGGCCACATCTAAATTATTGTCTTTTACTTTATTTGAAATCCTGTTAAGAAGACGGGAGATTGACAGTCTAAGCGTTAACGCTTTCATCTGACTGTAATTCCAGTTTTAGAAATTCAAGGCAAGGAAGTGCTCGTCGCATTATACGGCTATGAATCACGTGCGGATGGTGATTTGAGTTTCAGAAAGGGAGATATCATGTACTTGCTAGATTCTAGGTGTGCCGGTTTTTCATTTTTAGAATTATATTTGGATTTTAAATGGAAAAGTTGTCAGTTCTCTAGCTTTAAGTCACGTTCTTCTTTACGTTGTGTCTTTTATTAATGTTAAACTTTTACTCTCTTAGTTTTTTTCCGAGTTTTAAAAAAAGCAAAATCTTCCTTACCCTCCTTTTGTTCCTTTATATCGTTGTGAAAATTATCTTTTTTGATCAACATCGGGCGTGATTTAGTAATTCTGATTGGTGGTATGTATGCCATGTAAAAGGAGGCACTGGTTATGTTCCAAGAAATTTTGTCGCGAAACAACAGACTGTGGAGAGTGAAGAGTATGAATTTACCTTCAGTATTACAAAGATTTGTATTACTTCATATTAAAAATTTATTTTTATTTCGTACTGGGTTTTTAAATGCACATTTCTTAAAAAGTTGTCGCACTTTTTCAGAGTATGGTGGATGATCTGAAATAATAACTTTTAGATGGTTTGCTGGACGTATTGCGAGAAATCGTGCTGAACGATTAGTACTTGCAAATAATTTACCTAAAGGTACATTTTTAATCCGTGAAAGAGAGGCTGAGACTCGTGAGTACGCTCTGACAATACGTGATTCTGATGATCAACATGGTGGTACCGTAAAGCATTACAAGATCAAAAGGTCAAATCTTTTTAATTATGTAGATTTTGTTTTTGTATTTGGTTTTTGACGCGAATAAAATGTTTTACAGGCTTGATGGAGATGGCGGCTACTTTATCACGACTAGGCGAACGTTCCCAACTCTTCGGGATTTAGTTAGCTATTATTCCGGTAGGCCTTTATTGGGCGTCTTTTAATTTAGTATTGGATAGCAAGTCGTGGGAAATAAAGATTTTTGCGTTTGTGTGGCATTCCTGTCTACTTTTAGAAGTCGCCGATGGACTTTGCTGTCAGCTTTCATTCCCTGCACCACGTATTGCTCCCACTAGACCTGACCTTTCTCATGACACTCAAATTGTAAAAATTCAGCTCTTCTTTTTATACTTTTGCTGTTAGTACTTTTCATACTAGTAGGTCTTGATCATTTTTAAAAAGAGTTAGATGTTTTTAGAATTGGGAGATACCTCGCAACCAGCTTCAGCTAAAAAGAAAACTTGGCGATGGCAACTTTGGGGAAGTTTGGTACGGTAAATGGAGGGGAATGGTGGAAGTTGCTATCAAAACGATGAAACCTGGAACTATGTCTCCTCAGGATTTCCTTGGGTTGTTTTATTTGGTTTTTTCTTCTACGTTTTTATTTTGGTTCCTTGAGGTTTATTTCAGTGGAGGAGACCAAAGTAATGAAGTTGGGTGTTTGTTCGACGTTTCTACTGTCTTTTGTTCAATTTTATAATAGGTATTTTACTAGGTAAAGGAGATTCTACTGTTATGGGTTTTGGGTTGAGCGGCATTTCTCTTCTGTTGTTGTATATAATCATCAGTAGTAAGTCTGGCTGGCCGTGTAAAGACAGTGTTTGATTACAATGCACGGTCTAGGTACCCTGAGCGCTTTGCCATTTCCAGAAGCTGTGGGACAGTTTTTTTTAATACCTTGCAAATGCGGAAATTTAGGCATATTTTTAAAAATAATCTATGGTAGAAAAGCTTTTGACACGTTGTTTGAACTTTGTCGGACACATTTTTTGGGCATGTTTATTGGAACGTTTGAAGTAGGGATGACACAGTAGCGCAGCGTCGCGTTTACCGATGCTCTGCTTGTATTTCTTGCCATTCTTGCTAGAAATAAGGTATGAAAACTCATCAGTAATGCGAGAATGGGTTATTTTCTTCTGGGCTTCTGTGTAGGAAATACGGCAGTTAAGGGGCAATTCGTGTAGTTGGCAAGCAGGCAGAAAACGTTAATGTTGACTCTCAGATGCATAGATTTTGGAGTTTGCTGAGTCGATTGGAAGGTTTAAACTAGCATAACGGTTTAAGCAAGCACTATATTCGCTTAATGCAACATTTCTTTTGTATTACGAACAAATAGGTAACAAATTCAGTTGTTATTCAGTCTATTCAGTTTCAGTCATTAATGGTGGGTCGCTAGACTGCATTTAGCAGTAACATTTTTGGTTCTTACCGGTAGAATTTCCGTCGGTCAAGCATCTTTTTGTTTTTCCAAGTCTGTTTTGTGCAGCAAAGTAGCATCTTCATTTTTCTCTTAGCGACTTGACTCGACCTTTTATCAGAACAATGATAGTGAGGATGAATGGAACCAGTGGAAGGTTGGAAGGGCAGTGAGATTTTTTTCCAGCAACCGAAGAAAGCCACGACCCGCGAAAAATATAAAAATTGGCAAAAACAAAAAAGCACTTAACTGTCTCATTTACAAAAGTGTAGTTTTTTAATTGTGCAGAAACTTATCTGAATGTTTCATGCAGGCAAAGTTCTGTTGCTTTTTAGATCTACCAATACTTAAAAGATGTACGTTTCAGACAAAAGCCTCTTGGTGTTTTTTTAAATAATGCATCAATTCTTATTCACAAAACCTGCTTAAAGGCTGTGTTACGGAGGTGGGGGGCCTCACGATTCATCTGCAATAATCGCATTCCTACCGTGTCTTGCCAGAAATACAATGATTGATATAAGATGAAAGATATCACTTTTTATGTACTTATGTGAACAGTAATTTGGAATACAACCTATATTCCCGAAATCCTTCTGCGTATTGGACAGTACCCAGCCGTGCAGAAGAATCTGTCTATGATGAAGTATTACAGATTGAATTGGGGCCAGTCTGATGAAAGTTACTGAACATTGTCTAGTACTGCGTCCTAGCAGTTCTTAAACGGTTTGTAAGAGATATTTGCAGGCTATTAGGATAGTGCATTAAAATAGCGACCGAGTACCGTTTCCGAATCTTCTGATTTATACAATGTTTCTTTGAACGTGTTTTTTGCGTGTTGACATCTTTATATTCATCTCTCATTTATAAAACATTACTGGTGAAGTATTATGACGTTTAATAATGTTATTGCTCTATGAAACTTTATTTCAGTGAAGCACAGATTATGAAACAGTGCGATCATCCAAATCTCGTCAAGCTTTACGCTGTTTGCACAAAAGAAGAACCTTTTTATATTATAACTGAGTATATGTGTAATGGCTCTTTACTGCATTATTTGCGTCACGAGGGGCACTCGTTGACGTTGCAAGCTTTGGTCGATATGTGTGCTCAGGTCTGTAAACATGGTAACTGTTCTATCCACTAGTTTAATTTCTCATTGAGGCCAAGATTTGTCTACTTTCAGATTGCTAACGGGATGATGTATTTGGAGGAACGTAAGTTAGTTCATCGTGATTTAGCTGCAAGAAATGTTCTTGTTGGTGAGAAAATATCGGGAGTTCCTGTCGTTAAGGTAAATAATTATTTGTCATTTTTGTCATATTCCTATGAATTTTTTTTGGTACGTGAATTGTTTGTTTATTTAGGTATTAAGTTACAGTAAAATTTGCATTGTAGGTTGCTGATTTTGGCTTAGCACGTGCCCTTATGGATGAAGATATTTACGAAGCACGTACTGGAGCTAGGTTTCCAATTAAATGGACCGCTCCTGAGGCTGCCACATGCGGTAATTTCACAGTAAAGTCCGATGTGTGGTCATATGGGATCCTCCTTTATGAGATTGTTACTAGAGGACAAGTGCCATACCCAGGTTCTAGATTTTTGTTTTAATAATTTTACTAAAATTTGGGAGTTCTGTTTTTCTAAGTACTTTTTCTTACTTTTTGTGGAAGGAGACTTTGATAAGTTTAGCTTTGTGATGTCTGTTGTAGATTCAGGTTTCCAGAAATGTATGAATGTACTTCCTAAACATCGGGATTTAATTTCTCAACTTAAGCCAGTAATTCTCTCTTAATTATTGCTTCTAGGAATGAATAACCGAGATGTGATACAGCAAGTTGAGAACGGATACAGGATGCCTCAAACGCGTGGTTGTCCAGATCCTATCTACGCAGTTATGCTAAAGTGCTGGAACAGGGTATTTTGACTTACTAAAGAATCTTTGGTTTACTTAAGATATTGTATGTTCTTAATCCACTGGCTGCCTCTTACAGCTTCCGGAAGATAGGCCTACCTTCGATCATCTATTCCACTTTTTCGATGACTACTTCGTGAGTTCACAGCCCAACTATGTGCCGCCAACATGATGTTTATGACGACTGCTTCTTCTGAATAGAAGAAGATTTCACAGCAAGCATACTATTCTTTAAGAGAAAGGAGTTTGGATTCCTTCGATATATAGGTGAAACTTTAACCATGCAATTTGGAACTGTTAACACGTTAAAGTACTTGTTATGCATTTGTTTTAAACCTCAAAAAGGATTTTTTGAGGATTTCGTTGCTTGGATGCCCATGTTTGCAAAAAACCAAAGATTTAGTGAGCTGTTTTAAGAGCGTCTAAAAGTGTTTAGGAGTTTAGTTCGGTTATGTAAATTATTGTTAGAATGAAAGAAAGATAATTTAGGGATCAACTTAAATGCTACTTCGATCTTGAACTGCATGCATTCCTGCCATCTTGTGTCTGTGTTCTTTCATGCTGTTGCCTTGTGTCATTGATAGCAATTTCAGTGTTGGATATAATTTTTTGGAATTTTTTTTATTTTTCCTTCTTTGTTAATCACACCTTTGCTGTCGATCTTTACAGGAATGATTTGTTTGCGTGTTAAATTGCTGATCATGCTTTTAAAAGTAGCTGGTGCGCTTTTACTCCACTTATCGCAGTTTCAAGGATTACTGCTTTTGCTCATGTTTGTAATATAACTGGATTCACTTCTTTTATGCAACAAAGGCTTTTCACAATTTCTTGCGATTATTTTGCTTTTTGAAGTTTATGCATATGTTGGATTGTCTATTGGTCTCCGCAAGCAACCTTGCAATTAACTCAAGTTGATGAGAAGTTCTTCATTCGGGTGTGCATTAAATCTTGCTTGCATCTCATGACTCAGTCTTCTTGTCGCAGTTCAGCTGAATGTTAAGCCTGAAATGTTTGACAAGCATTCACATAAAATTTATGACGACCTTTATTGAATTTCCTATAATTTAAAGTTAGGGAACTAACATACAAACTTCAGCCACGATTATGTTGGTGGGACCTGAGCGGCAAAAAGTGGAGTGCACTTGGCACGTATCAGGGCCTCCACAGTTGTTCCCTGCGCCTCACCACTATCTACTTCCTTGAAGGGTTCTGAGCAGCTATGTGTCTGAAGTGGGCCGTTAGGTCTCCTCTGAAACGGCAGCGCTAAGCTACGTTCGCCTCAGCAATTTGAGTCGAAGTTAAAAGAAGACAAACATCTATCAAAACGAACTTCGAAAACCACCCAGAAGCAAAAACAACAGTAAGAAGCACCCCTTCAGAAATGTCCCCACATTTGCAAGTGCAACCACCGGAATGATTTTCTTTATTTTTTTCTGTGAACTGCTCTACCAGCAACACTGTAAAAACCCCCAAACACAATTTAAAAAGAGGAAGAGAATCGAGGAATGCAGAATAAACCAGACACAATGTATAACATATCGCGGGCAAACAACCAAAAGTTGGAAAAATATGGACCCAATTAGACTCCTTTTTGCGACTTGATAGTTCGATCACTTTAAAAACAACCCCAGGTTGCTTTCTGTGCGGCCCCTTCCCACTACAATGAAATCCAACTCCCGACAAGGCAGTACCAGTCAGCCCGATAACTGGACTGTACTATAAAAACAATGGTAACAAATTTGAAAGTTCAAAGAACAATTCTGCGGACGTCGGGCATGAATAAGACACAGCTCAACTCACAAAATAAAGCCAAAACGAAAAAATCACAAAAAATAAAAAACATAGGAGGGAAACATTTGAAAACTGTATATCACACGATACGAATAAAGGAACAACTTAACTACATGTTTCATAGAAAAATGCTCAAAAATTCCAACATTTGTGCACATTCTGAACCTTATAAACTATCTTCAAAACAACGGCAAACCATTTTTACACGAATAAACATAACAGGCAAAAAAAAACGAATACCCATAAATATAGAAAAGATCAGTGTTTATTTCCTTGCTTGTTTAGCATATTCAAGGAACAAATTTTTTTGCACCTGCTGGTACTGTCGCATCATTTGTGGATTAGCAATCACAGCGGCCACAGCTGGATTTATTGCTGCTAAAGCCGCTAACGGGTTTGCAGCAGCTGCATTAGCACTGCCTTGTTGTACATTCTGCGCAGCATTTAAAAGCGCTGCCATAGCAGTCAAATTCGGTAGTCCGCGCTGCTGTTGCATGAGAGCCGCAGGCCACTGAAATTAGAGTACAGTAAAGACTTGAGACTCACGTTATTCCAAGACAAACTTATTTTACTAAGTAAAAAGATTCCACCTCTCCATAGGTACGACACGACACGAGCAGGTAGGAAACCTCACCTGTAACATATTTGGTGCAGAAAACAGCGGATTTGCCATCATCGTTGCAAGCATCGGATTCATCTGCCGGAGCGCAGAAGCACTAGCCATTTGCTGTTGCAGAAGGTTAGCCCCACCAGCACTACTAGCTGCTGCAGCTGCTATCGCAGCAGCTGCTGCCGCACTCTGGATTGATGCTGCGGTACTGGCTGATGAACTAGGTGTATTCGACGGTGTTACAGCAGGGCGTTTATGCGGGCTAGATTTGTGAGAACTTGGAGTATTGTGATGATGTGCTATTGCCTAAAAGATTACAGCTTACAATAGTAAGCGTAGAAATATGCAACTAAAGCACATGCAGCCCTAACAGCAAAAATTGAGTTACTTTTGTTTTTATGAACAAAAGAACTAACACTCGTGCTTGCCGAAGTCTTCAATGATCCCCCATGTGAAGCTGAGCCTGCCGTCGATTTAGCGTGTGGAGGTGGTGTAGCTGCAGGTGTATGAACACGAGGAGTAGAAGTCGAAGGCAAAGGACTATCATACTTACCCTCTGCTATTTGCTTCTCCAGTTCCTAGATTAAAAGATATTCGAAAAACCTCCAAATAATAAAAGAAAAAACAGTTCAAAAAGTTCTACTAGAAAACGCGTTTCTGCGAAAAATGCAAAACAGATAAAGTATCCCTCAAATTCACCTGTTCTTTTTCCATAACTCTCTCAAGCTCCTTTCTTAGTAAAGCAGTATGCTCTTGCCGCATTTTTCGCTTCTGTGAGGCCTTAACACACGTTTCACAATAAAGATGTAGATCTTCTTCACTAGTGCCTATTGCACGCCACACGGGAGTAAAATCGGTCCCGCATTCCTCGCAAACATATGGTTCTTCCGAAACTTGCCTTAATTAAAAAAGCGTATAACAGTTTCAAAGTTTTAGTCACTGAGAGTAACGTTATCTTGATACACGCTTGTAAAAATAAAAATTTATATTTAACAAACGTTTGTGCAAAAGAAACCTTTCGCTTCTTAAAACTCTGAATTACCCGGAAATCTTGACTAGTCAAAACCTTATTACAGCTTCGCCGCACATGCTTGAAAATATATATAAGACCCAAGAATTTTACCGTGTCGCGTTTTTGTCCTTCAGAAGCCTTTGTACTGCAATGTCTAACCCGAGTAATGCACAAAAATCTGGCTGATTAGCATTCGGAATAAAATGCATGTCAGGAGGAGGAGGCCTGGGTGGAGGAATCTAAAAACAGTTCTTCTATAAGCATTTTTCACTAAACCTTAAAAGTAAAAATGATATACGAACTCTAAGCAGATGTTGTTCAAGTTCACGTCGCAGTTTTAACTTCGCAGCAGCAGCTTTCTGGGCCGGTGATTCTCTAATTACATTAGCCGACGAAGTGTTCCGAGTATGGTGCTGTTGCGCCAATGCAGCTAACTGTTGTTGCTGCTGACTACTTAGCCGGCCTGAAATTACTATTCGCTGTCACTTGAAGTCACTGAACCTATTAATATATAAAAAATAAAAAAATAAACAAGGAGCAGGATAAAATGACTAATTAACAGCAAAAAAATCAAAAAATGCGTGACTCAAAAAAATACAATTCAAATAAACGCTCACCGTTCGCTTGACACTGTTGATGGGCTTGCAAAAGTATTTGTGCAGTTGCAGTATTCAAAATGCCATTCTTCGCTGCTTGTTGGATTAACTGTTGCTGTTGTGGAGGCAAATTCATAAAAGCTGCAGCAAGTGAAGCTGTCCGAGCATTATTTTGCGCGTTCAGCGAACCTAAATCTTTTATTGACAATCGGTAACTAAAGAAACCCTAAAATGTAACAGATCATATCATTCATTCCCATTAAATCCAACTTTCTCAATTTCCTTCATCTAATAAGCTATCATATGTAAATAATCTTCATGCTCTCTCATCAGAGAAGAAATGACCCTGGTGAAATTGAATACAAAAATGTATCACTAAAACATTAAACGGCACCAAAAGCCATAAGGAAAGAAAAAAAAATACTTCTACTGTGGGCACTATGATTTGAACCACCACGCCCTTGCGGCGTTGCGACCGGTGGTTTATAAGCAGTCCCGCTGCCATTTTGAGCAATATTAGCAGTGAGTTTACGCATGTTAGCCTCCTGCATCTGAAGCAAAACAGAAAAAAGTAAACTGAAAACAACGCAAACATCTGACATGAAAAGCAACAAAAAAATCTTCTAAAAATGGTAAATAAATAGGCGCCTCCAGAAGTACAAAACAGATATTTTTCTCAAAAGCCAAACTGGTGGTACCTATATACTTATCTTTAAAGTGAATTAAGGGTACAAACCACAAGAATCTTCAACCTGCGTTTAGAAAGAAATACTAGACGGACGAAGCTAGTTGTAAACTCTCAAGCCTTACATAAATTCCGCCTGTCCTCATACAACATTCCTATTCAAAACAAAAGCTATGCTCGAGACAACCCCCAACTTAGCTTCTACAAAACGTCCCATCTAGAAAGCAATTAAAGATCCTCAAACACCAACCTCCATTATTCACACCTAAAACATATGTGTGAAGCACAACCCAACAGACCTCATAAAACATGCCCCTTAAAATTTAAAAGAGCAAACAGTGAGCATACAGCACATCGATCATTTTAATAATGTCATACTTGCGATACAGTTATCTGTTGGCTTTTCTTCAACGTCTTCAGCATGGTTAACTTAGCCTCCTCCAACCTTAACTCCTCCTCTATAGTCTTCACCATTAATGCCCTCTCACGTAACTGCTCCTCTGTTTGCGTCACCATATTCTAAACCAAAAGTAATGTCAACAAAAAAGAAACTCGGGAAATAAGGATAAAATGAGCGAATAGATAAAGTTAAAAATTAAAAAAAAAAGAGAAGATAAAGAAAAAGCAGGACCGTTATACAAAAACTACTGAAAGAAATAACTTAGAGAGTCTTCCAAAGAAGCTACGTAATTTGTACATAACGATGAGTCTGCAGTGCAATACTCACCTTCTCATAAACCTTTTTAACCTGCTCCACTTCTTCTTCATTTAAACTTGATATTTCAGACTCATCGCTCATTAAAAGAACTTCATCATTCACAAATTTGACTCCAAATTTGCAGTCAAATTGGTCTAAGTAAAACCGAGAAGCAATTCTTCTTTTTTTAATTGGTCTCTCAGGTTCATCGTTTTCACCGTCACCAGAATAATAACCATCGTTCTACAAAAAAATTAGAAAGAAGATCGATGTAAAAGAAGCTTAAATCATATCAATTGCCCTCGACAGAGCAGCTTTCATTTTTCTTCTCCTCAATTCTAATTTATTTGGTTCTAATCCCTCATCTAATACAACAACAATTACTGACTAATCAAAGAAATGAAAATGGAATAACAAAATATCTGCTAGACAACTACCTAGAAGAGATCAAATTGGAGAACATGAACACTAAATGAATGGCGATGAAGTTATTAATGCTACTTACGCTGTTCGATGCATAACCTTCGATAAGTGGAGAGACAGACTCTTTCAGTTTGATTTTTTCGGCAGCTTTCAAAGCACATATACGTGTGCTTCTTCTTAATGAAGATGGTGAAAGTTCTCCGTTTGTAATTGATGGTTCATCTGGAGTTTTTACGCGAGTGCTCCCAGATTTCTCATCCGAGAAACATGGTTGAGAATTGTGGCAAACTCCATTCTGCAATCCATTTTTTATAAACACCACTCTACTAACACTAAAAAAAAATAAAATAACTTGAAGCTCAAATTGTTTGCCTGACTAATACCCTCTAACACAAAGAGCTTCAGAGGGAAATGAAATGAGACATCCCTTCTAAAGTTAAAACTTCACATATAGTACAGCAAATGTCTAAAAGAAAAAGTCACCTCCTCAATACCATTTATAACATCAACAGAATTCATATGTATGGCACTTTCACCGCTGCTTTTCGAAGACTTCTCAGAACTACGTTGTTCAGCATTCGTTGCCATTATTTATAATGATCAGTAACCTACATAAAAGACCCTCACAGTTTGCCAACTTGCCACATCTTAAAATAAAATTGTAAAAATTAAGGAGAAAGAGAAAGGAATATCACAAATTAAACGCTTTGAAAGATAAACCAAAAGACGCGCTTAATAAAAACACAAAAATTTCTTCCCCTTTTCTCATCCGACTATACAATATAACGTAGACCAAGAACAGTTTGTAAAACTCAAATTTAGCAACGCCAAAAAAAAAAAAATTAACGAAAATAGTTAAGAAATAACAGAGAAATGATTCCCCAAAAAGCAGATAAAATCTTTAAAGCCGGAATCAACACATTATAAACTCAAGAATCTTCATGAAAAAATATCAAAATTTGCGGTTTCAAAAAAAAATCAATTATATCAACATTAAACAAATCTGAAATTAAAAAATGCCGAAAAAGACACAGTAATTCCGAAGTCAAATACACGATTTTTGACAGAACACTTCGAAGACGCCGAACCATTACGTGCTCAAAAGAAGCTGAATAAACAACTTTACTGAAACGAGCAACGCAATTGCCACAAAAACTTTGAAAGCAAATTCAAATGAACACTACGTAATTTGACCACTTCATGAACAAAAATTTCAGTGAATATAAGCAGATAAATTTTAAAATAAATCTGAGCGGAACCAGTCGACAGCAAATCCCAAATAAACATCAAGAAGTTATGGAAGTATCAAACAGTTACAAGAAAGTTCCCAATAACCCCTCCGAAACTTTTTGTTGCTTGAAAAGAAGTTTTTTCAACGATGACAGACTAGAAAGGGTTTGAAAAAACTATCGTTTACTCGCAAATTAAAAAAAAGGTAGGTCTAAAGACTTGCAGCAACAATAAAAACAACCTAAGAAGTAAAAACTAAAAGTAAAATGGCATTAAAACGAGAGGGAGTGGGGTGCCGGCAAGGAGAGAGAGGGGGAGGGGGGTCGCAGTAGTTAGGGGGTTGGCAGGCTTATAGAGCACAACAATATGCGTAAACAGTTTTTTTCTTTCTTGATAAGTAAACTCGTTCTTCTGTCATGCGAATTACGCTCGCCACTCGGAATCGCTGTAGCGGTCTTTAAGCACAACACTTATATCCATTCAATTTATCGATTCTATTGACCCTAATGGTTCGCTAACCCCTTACCTTTAATAACTTTTCTTTCTTAACCAAAATGCCACCATAACAAACCAAGCGCAAATCTGTTCTTCCTTGCACAAAAAATGGCCGTCACCATCACCATCATCATCGAATGACACTAGAAAAAAGGACGGAAAAAGGGAAAGAAGAGCAACAACAATGGATTAACGAAGTAACAGTACTCCCAGTTATCTTTAGCACCAATACAGCAACAACAGCCGAAGCAGCAGTGATAGCTGCTCTCAGTAATCACAATCATTACGTTAAGCAGAAAAAAAATAAACGCACAAACTGGAAAATTACCGATAAATTCCTTAAAGCAGAAATCTTTCTCGACCCACCTACTACGGTAACCTCCGCCCACTCTAAAACTTAAAAAGACAACATCAGTGGTGAGATATGCATTTAAAAGTTGGGGAAGATAATCAGTGACAAAAAACTAAACACTAGTAAAGATCAAGAAAAAAAATGAAATGTGTATATTTGAGATAAAAATGACAACTGACTAAAGTTCTGCACGCTGTTGAAAAATACACTATCAGTTATGCATTATTGATTTTTTTCTTTTGGACGCGTGCAAACAACTTGATTTCCTTTGAGGGAATATATCAGAATGTAATTAAAAAACCAAAAATGATATAAGAATAAAAAACGAGGAAAAAACACAAGAAACGCGGACATCTCAAAAGATTTCAGAAATCCAAACCTAAACATAAAAAAAACCCACATACCACAAACAGTCACCTATGCACAGAGTCACAATAAAATTAACCCCTGAAACTCTGCAGATAACAGTCAATGACAACTAACTCGTTAGTCGCCGTCTGGGTGTTTCTCCTTTTCCTGTTTTCTTTTTCTTCTGTTCATTTTTATTTTTATTTATTTAATTATTTATTTTCCATTTTTTTTTTGCTTCAACCCATCGCTTTGAAAGCTTTTTCTTCCTTGGTTGGTTCACCATCTCCCTTCTGTTCCTGTTAATCCTTCTTCCTTCACCAAACTAATTCATATCAGGTGCAAAAAAAAAAACCAGT